TATTGAAACAATATTTTCTAAGTATTAATAATAAAAGTATATTAAAAATTTAAGAAAATTTTGAAAATAAATCAGTTCTTTTTTTATTAAAAGTTCATTGTAGGAATGACTTATCTCTTTTCCTAAAAAGCCTAGTTGACTCCAGTCTTAAGTGAAGCTTTTAGCTTTTCCACAAATATTAATGTAGTATATACATTTAGTTATTAGTTAGCAACCATCAAATCAAGGCTGTTCAGGTGGAAGACAGAATTTTAATCAAAGGGCTTGAGTTGTTATCTCACTAACTTATTAACAATGTGGCAATTCACCTTATTTCCCTGTACCTTCTTTACTTAAACATAAAGTGGGGGATCATGTTTTTTCTGCTGTACTGAACCACATTGCTGTGAGGTCTTTTGTCACCATTTTTAAAGCACTATGAAATAATTAAAATTCTTAGTACTTTTAAGTGTAAAATACTCTGAAAATTTCAGTGGTTTCTTCTTGTCTCATAGCACTATGAAGTGCCATGTTTGAAGCCTTAAGGGATAGAAGGAATAATAAGTTATCATCTGTGACATAAGTAAAAGATACTCAAATGATTTAACAGCATTATTGTTAGAAATGTAACAAGTGTCATGTGCTGTGCAAAGTGTCATGAATACAGTACATTTTTCCCAGCCTTCTTGGGTAGGCCTTTCTCCTGAGCCCTGAATCTTCATGTACAGACGCTCTTCAGCTTGCCAAGGGGTTACAGTCCCATCCCAATAGTACTGTAAGTTAAAAATGCACTCAGTACACCTACCTACCAACAACATAACTTGACAACACATTAAACTCTAGAATGCTGGCTGCTTCCCCTTGTGAAAAGAGCTAAATTAAAAATTTAGAGTATGAGTTCTACTTAATTTGTATCACTTTCTTACTGTCTTACCATCAAAAAATTAAAAATCAAACCAATGTGAGTTAGGGACCGTCTGTATGACTGTTGGACTTATCTCCTTGTTTGCCTTATGGTCACTTTAGATCCACCAATTCCTGAAGCAAACTAGTGTTCTTTATTTTGTCACTTTATCCTGAACATCTTGTTGTGACTTGTTACTGCCAGCACTGAGCAGAGGCAGTAAGCCAAGTATGCTCCCAGGTCTTAGTTGAATACCACCACATTCACTTCTCAGGTTCAGTAAGGTCTTTTTAAAAGATTTGACTTCACCTCTTTTTTACTGTCTCTTAATGTTACTTCCATAAAACCCCTTTCCTAGACCTTGCTGTCAGCCCCATGCAGTGATGGACCCACAGGAGAAACATACACCTTTCTTAACATGGGCAGAGGGGACCATGAGTACAGCCCTTGTTATGTCAGGACAAGAGCTTCCCTTGTGTCCTCCTGACCCGACATGGGCTGCCTTCTTCAACTGACACACCTGTTTGCTCTCCATCCCTGTCCCTTGTGTCGCCTCCTTCCACTAAGAGCAATATGTTTGCACTCTCAGAACTAGGCAACTCCTGAGCTGTCCCATGATCACCTTTGGGTAAAGGCCTATTCTCTGAGTCCAGATTCATGGCACCTCTCTGGAGTAGTCCTGCTTCCCCGTGTATTTCCTGTACTGCATTTACTGCATCCTGCACTAGGGCCTCCCAGAAGTAGGATCATTTCCTGGTAGCTTTTTCAACCCACAAGGATCTTGAGAAAACAAAGTCCCTCTCTAGTTCTTAGTGTTTTAGGCACATATTGCATTATCATATTCTTTGCAGTATCTATGCAAGACAGGAGATGCTTTCTGTTTTATAAACAAGTAAACTGAGGCATGGAGAGTTTGAAGCAATTCTATGAGGTGACACAGCTCATGGATTATGGGCAGGATTTGGACCTAGCCCATTGGTCCCCAATTCCTATGTGTAGTGATATCTCTTCATGAATTTTTGGCAGATTAATATTACATGAATTCAGTGTAATTTGAAATTTATGTTAATATGAGTATTTGAGACTATGACCCCATGCTGAGGACAGTGGCAACCAGGACATTGAACAATGTGGGAAGAACAGCTCTACGATAGCCGCTCTGTTTTCCATTCTAAGCAGTTTTCATTTAATATTGTAAACAGTGGAGAGTCGCTGATGATTTTTAAGCCAAGGAGCAAATGACGAGATTTTAGTTTTAGGAACACAGCACTGGTGAGAAATGGGTTAGAGAAGATTGGACATAGAGTTTGAGTAACTGAAAGAGTTACAAATCAGGACAAGAGATGAAGACAGCAGGACCAAGGAATTCCAAAATAGAAGCCTAAGAGGGATCATTTTTTAGATAGAATTAAGAAATTTCAAAGTTGATTCAATGAAGAAATCCAAGAAGAGGAGACAGGATAATGTGATGACAGCAATGCCAGTAGTAGCCATAGTGAGAGTAGTTCCAGCCTTTTTAGAACTTGTTGCTTCAGCATGTTATTGGTATACCTATGTGGTCCCTCTTCCATTTTCTGGTGGCCTTAAGTCTGAGTGGTAAGGGATTTGCCCTTATTAGGTGTTGCCCTGTTGGAGGAGCAGTGACTCTGGGGATGCTGCTGGCTGAGGAGGTGCATAATGGTGAGAGAAAAGAGGCTGAAGATGTGAGTTGTGCATGGGTAGCCATGAGGTGCACGTGTCTAGCAGAACAGGAAAGCTCCTTGAAAGTAGTGTGACTTGTGCCAGGTTCGATGAGACAGTGGACATGGCCCCTTGGCCGTGTGAAATGGAAGGTCTCCACTCTGAGTTAACTTTGTAGTGGCAGTGAGAAAAACAGTGCAAGGGGCTCAACAGAAAAATCCAATGTTATTTCTTTATTTAGGGGTTTGGGGTACTTGTATAGGTTGTCTGAAAACCTAAGAAATAGCTTATTCTTGATATGTGCTATACCAGTGTTTATTTTCATAGTTCTTTATTTAGCTTTACTGCACATATGAAATGGTTCATAATACAAAATTAGGTTGAAAGAGTCTCATTAATCATAGCCTATTTACAAACTGTGTAGAACGTATCAGACTTTTTGCCTGCTACAATTATGCTGCACAAGCTGAATATCAGAGAAAAAATCTGAAGCAACACGTCATGTCGTGTAAAGATATTCTTAATTTAAATAATATTCTGAATGTGATATTCTGAAATGATATTCAGAATATCATTGATATCAGAATATCAATGATATTCTGAAAAGATATTCTTAATTTAAATAATATTTTAAGTGACATTTTCAAGAACTTTATTGGACACATAACAAAGGTGAACTTTTTATTTATTCTAAGATAAATTAACATCATTTCAATATCTTATAGAAATTACATTCTTATTAAATACTTTATATAAAGCATTTATAGGAATTACCTATTTTATTTGGCAGCTTGAGTGTTCCTAACTATACTATTTAATATAATCTAGTATTTTAAGTTAATTTTAAGTAATTTAAAATAAATAATTCTACTTTTTAATGAAAATGCCATAAACTATTCACATACGTTTCTTTTCTACTCACATTTATGAAAACTGAGGAGGCATCTATTCATTACTTACAGACCAAAGCCATTTTAAAGGGTCTGTGTAGAACTCAGTAAAACTTACAAAACTGACAAGCATCCCCAACAGTAGCCACTGTTTGAAATTTATGAAATTGTAATATATTACATTTGTTCTAAGAGCCTTTATCAAAACAGTGTCTAAATAATATGAAGTATAGACTGAAATGTAGACTTTTTTATTTTTTCAGTACTGGGGATTGAACTCAGGGTCTTTGCACTGAACTACATTGCCTGTTCCCGTAGCCCCTTGTATTTCTATTTTGAAACAGACCTTCCTTTTAAAGTGAGTTCTGTGTTCTAATGGTTGTGAATCAGTGGCCTTTTTTTACTTCAAATACAAATCCTAACCATGGAGTCAGTAGGTATTTTCAGCATCATGTGTGGCAAAGAAAACAGAAATTAGTATTATATGTGTGTTCTGTGACTGTACAAAAAGACCAGCTTCCATTCCATTTGATTGGTGGAGTGATTGTGCATGTTCATTACATCAGTTCATTATACAGTCCTTGCCATTACATCAGTGGTCAGTCTTTGTGTGCAGAAGCCCCAAGGGAAGACAGGATTCAAGCACAGCATATTGCAGCACATTACATTCATGGTCATAGGGAGTTTAAACTTTCCTGTGTGCCTTCACTTCTCTGAAACCGGGTAAGCTAGTCTATGCATTTGTAATATATGTGTGTGTAAATTAAGTGTGATATATGATACATGGCCCAACTTTCCTGGCAGTCCAGGTAAACAATCCTTTTGATGATTCTGCTGTGGTCTGCTGAGGAGCAAGCATTAAATAAGCACACCTGATAGCTCTCCTTTAGCTTAACTAAGGAAACTCTGTCCTCTTTCACAAACTTCCTTCCTCTCATTCCAAATAATATGAGTGTGTGCAAAGGGTTAAATACATCTGGAGTACATTACTTCAACTAAAACTAGTTCGGTGTTCAAAATAGGTTTTCATAAAACTGATAAGACAGCTTAATTCAAGGTTACTTGATGTCTTTCTGAGGCAGTGCTCTGTACTGAAATTATGAAGCCAGTGACTCAGTTTTCTAGTTGTATGCCTGCCTCTTTCAGAATAGGCAAAAGTTGTATTTGTGCCAAATAACAGATGTAAGTTACAAGAAAGAGCCTAGACCGGAGATGGCAAACTATTCAGAGCTTTCAGTGATAAACAGCCTGCTGCATGCAGCACAGGTGCCATAGTTTCACCACCACTGACCTAGACTTTCTTCATATAAGTAGAGCTCCACCCATGGTTAAAGGTTGTTAAAAGGGGAGCTTTATTGCTAGGAAGAAAACTTCTCACTCTTGCTATCAAGATGGGAGTGGTAGCCAGGGACATTCTGTAGGTACGTTGTGTCTCATAGCATGCTCGCCCTGCTGCACAAAAGTCTGAAGAGCAGCATCAGGAGTGTAAAGCAGCATGGCCTTTCTTATGTTGCCTGGATTAATTGATAGTGTTGCCTCTATTTTAGGAACTCTTACCCAAAATGAGATGATATTTAAGCGGCTTCATCTGGGCACTGTTTCCTATGGAACTGACACAATGGATGAGATCCAGACCCACCTCCTGAATTCTTACTCACAGGTATGTGGGTTTTCCTCTGAATGTGCTCTTCTCTCTGGAGCATCCAGCACTTGAATTAAACTGAATTTGTTATGTGCTAATCTGTAAATTAATAATCCTCTCTGATTATTTTAGCTTTCATTATTGTGTACCTGTCATCAATTCTAAGTCGAACAGGTCTGAGTAAGCATTTCTACGTTAGTGTAGTTATAGGAGGCATAATGGGCCTAAATTGTTTATTCATACTGTATTTTTAGTGAATAATTTGTAAAAATTTAGTGTTAACAGTATTTTGAAGGATATATACAGTTCAATACTATAACTGTATGTTTCCTAATGCCTCTTTTTTCCGCATAGAGTAGTAATTAATAAAACTTCCTTAAAATTTTAAAGATAAATTTTTTTCATCTTTTTCAGTAAGCAAAATAGATACCAGAATACAATGATCTATCATATGTCTGTCACTTAACTTCAATAATAATTATCAATGCATAGTTGACCTTGTTTTATCTGTAGCCATTCTCTTTTTATTTTGAAATGAAGCTCAAATATCATTTTATTTTTAAATATCTATTATGTGTCCCTAATCAGTAAAAGCTTTTTTAAAAATTTTATTGCCTCATAAGAGCCATTTGAGATTATAAGAACAGGAATTGCTTTCTTGCAACGTGATGATACAGCCTAGATGTCAGGTCATCTTCAGAAGAGACAGGCACTCCATATAGTCTATCCCAGGCTGTCTCATTCTCCCATTCTATATTCTTGACGTTAGTCATGTCAGAGCCTTTGTGTATGCATATACTGCATTTTAATCAAATTGAGGGTTTATAAGGTGCTGGCTCCATGTAGTGTTTATATCTCATTCCTTTGGATTTCACTTTACCTATCATAAAAGTTATTCATTTAATATAATTAAACCTAGCAGTTCAGGGTAATTCATTTCAAATGCCAGATGCAAGATTGTAGTTTGTGTCAGCAACTGTTACTTTTCTCAAGCTGCTTTTCTGCGTGTTTGTTGGTTTGCTTTGAATACTGTACAATAGCCCACATCATATAGGGTAAAGGCCTACTATTCAAAGGTGTAAATAGTTCACCTCGGTGATCACAGCTCAGGTCTCAGAGGGCCACATCTCTGATGTCAATTGCAGAGCTAGTATTTATATTAATTTGCCTCAGACAGGATTTTGCATAGATAAGTCTAAATTGCACTTTACCATTGCAGCTTTTGACAGAATTTAAGCATAGGATTCAGTTATAAATAATGTGTTTCGTTTTTGAAAAACTTTTGCTTCTTCTGTAATTGCTGCTGGTCTAGCATAGACATTACTAAGATGTGAAAATATCTTAGATGTATATTTATTGTATATAATGTTTTACATATATATATGTATACTTGCACAACCACACAAAACCAAGCATTTTAATCATATGGTTGTAATTTATTTAGATACAACTATTTTATAACCTATATTTATTAGTTTCAGTTACTTTTAATTTTGTCTTTTGTGGTAGAGATCAAACCTAGGGCCTTACTCTTATTAGGCAAGTACTGAACCACTGAGCCATATCCTCAACCATAAAATATGTATCAATAGAAGAAAAATCTAAAAGAGGGAAAAAGAATAAAGCTTTCTTTCTCCTAAGAATTGTGTTTAGATTAAAATACTACAAGGTAAAAGTTTTTCAAACATTATTCATTGCATTTACATAACCCACAGATTAGACTCCAAATAAGTTATTTTACTAGGAAAAACTTAAAAACAGAAAAGATGAAGAATTATTATGTGGAAATAGCAAATATTTAATGCTTATATTAAAGAGAACTTTAAAGATCATTTTTACTAAAAGCTGTCTGTAGGCTGGTTAGACAATACTTTTATGTGAAATAGATGTCACTCCTTGTTTGGGTTCTGTTTTATTATTAACATGACAATAGTCTAGTAGGTCCACTACAGTGTAGCACAAATCTTTTATAACCTGATTATATTTTCCCGCTGGAAGCATTTGGTGATACAAGGCACAGTCTTTAATGGAATTTGTGTGAAATTAAATTATGTAAGCCTCAGTAAGCATAACATAATTCAGAAGGAGAAAGTGGCTGAGCTTCTCTGCTGTAGGAGTGGTGACAAAGTGAGCTGTGTACAGATGCAGGGCAGCTGAGCTGCTGACAGTAGCCCTAGCCCAGCAGTAGGCAGCACTGTGATTTGATGGGTAGAGGACTCTTGGTTCAGTGGCTCTATACACCCAGTCCAAACACCAAAACTTGATTTCTAAGGATTATCCTGAGGTCTCTGAAATTACTTAGAAAAGTGTGGGCCAGTCCTTTTGGGGTCAGGGCAATGTTAGGAGATAAATAACTGAAATCACCACTTTGAAAGTGATAACTCACTCACACATAGCCTAGTATGATGACAGCCACAGGGTGCAGTGAGCAGCTGCTTCACCATAACACAATTTAAGATAAGACTGGGCCATTTTCCTCTGAAGGCACCCACTAATGTGTCTAATTACTGTAAGCTACAAAATCTGACTAATTCACAGACTGTTACAAGCTATATGGTAGTAAGGGAAGAGTCTTAAAAATTTTGTCATGCTTTTAGCTTTATCCTATTTTATTTATAGTATTTTTTTCAGAAAACTGAAAGCCATTGTGGATATACCATTCCATTTTGTTAACTTGCTCTGTTTTTAGAAGGAATGAATAAACAGGAATTATTGAGGACTTACAAAATCAAAGTGATAGTCGAAGTGACTAAACTAAAAGGAGACTGCCAAGTTTTAAGTATGATAGCAAATATTTTAAATATTTGACAACCTGGAAATATCAGAACATTTTATATAACTAAGAAAAGTAAATCATAATAATGGGTGCTATATAGGACAAAGAATCAAATCAAACTAAACCATATTTTTTATTTCTTGTTTTTTATCATAGCTTATAAAATAATATAGATTGATCACTTCTGGGTTTACCACCTAGTTCTCTGATCTTTAATTTTTTTATGACATTACCTGATTTAAAGATGCATCCTCAAGCAAGTGGAAACAACTCCAGTTCAACACCACCAAGAAGAGCCCAATCTTTAGCCCCCAAAGTTAGGAAAAGCGTCAGCAGTCGGATCCATGAAGCAGTGAAAGCCATTGCTCTTTGTCACAATGTGACCCCTGTGTACGAGGCTCGGGCTCTCATCAGTGGTGAAACTGAGTTTGCTGAAGTGGACCAAGACTTCAGTGACGAGAACCGTACCTACCAGGCATCCAGCCCTGATGAGGTGAGTCGCACCCCTTTAAAGAATCTGGTTTCAGAATTTATTTTTCAGAGTGCAAAGCTGTGGTCTGTGTGCTTTTCACTTGGGCTCAGTGGGCATGCAGACTTACTTTCTAGTGCAGTGAGTGAAGGGGCTGTGTCCCAGCCAGACTTCCAGAGCCAGCTCTACCTGAAGGTCGAAAACCATCTGCTCCTTCTAGCATATGGCCCTCTTGTGTCACTTAAGCCTTTCAGATATGGACCTATTGTCCTAATGTGTCAATATTTAACAAAACACCTGAGAATAGTTAACAGGGAATAATAAGAAAAATCAGTTTTGCTGGTTTTATAAATTGTGACAGAGCGAAGTTTCAATAAAGCTGTTGAAACTTGGGATTACTATATGCTATATTATTTAATTTCATCTTATCTTCAAATAAATCATAAAATTTGTGTACTAAATTTCAAGTTATTTTGTTAGAATTTAAATATAACATCTTTTTGAAAAGAGAAGTATGTAAATAATTTCTAAATCTACAGAAAGGGCATAATCTTAAATCTGGTAAATTTGTCATTTCTAACTTTATATCATTTCTTCATATTTTGTAAAGTGTTCAAGCCAGTTATAGAAGTAACATGATCAAACTGGCTTCTTCAAGTACCTTATAAAACTGGATCATAGTAGTAAATAATTAGCCAAAACTACCTCCAATCAAAATAAAAAATCTTACCCCATGTTTTAAAGTAAGGAGTTCGTTAATACAGCCAAGTTTATTGCAAAAGAGGAAAAGTCTTTTTGCCGCAAAGCATTACAGTCAAGACATGCATTCTCATTGGATGGCAGCCTCCTCAAGGTCAGACCGTGCAGATACTAGGGAGGTGCACAAGAGTTGTACCCCATACACTCCCTGGTGGGTACCTGAAAAGGACAGCCTGGAGAAAACTGGGAGTGCCTCAGGCATTAAACAGTCACCATATGGCCAAATAAGTTCACTCCTATGCATGTGCTCAAGAGAAATGAGAACGTATATTCACGAAAAAACTTGTACATATGTATTTATAGCATTATGGCTAGTGTCTACCAACAGATAAATAAGACATGGCTTATGCACGTGGTAGAATATTATTCACTGACAAAAAAGGAGTGAGTCACTGACACATGCTGCAGTGTGAGTGAACCTGGAGAATGGTATGCTCTGTGAAAGAAGCCTGTGACAGAGGCCTCGTGTTATATGATTTCATTTATATGAAATGTCTAGAATAAAATCCATGGGGATGGAGAGAAGATTAGTGATTGCCAGTGGCAAAGATGTAGCAAAGAGTATAGGGGTTTCTTTTCTGGGCAAGAAAAAATTTTAAGTTGATTGTTATGATGGTTATAAAACTATGAATATACTAACACCCATTAAATTTAAATGAGTAAATTGTAGTGGTGGCATGTATAAGTTCTGTGATCAAGTATAAAAATCTGGAGCACTCTAAATACACTGTCATATTCCAGATGAAAATGTGTAAGTTATAGCTGTGAGTTTATTAACATGTTAGGAAATTACTAGAACAAATTTAGAGCCCCAGGAAGAGAGAAGGGAGTAGATGTGTGTTTTCAGAAGATACGAGGAGCTCTGTTCTTTGTGGATACATGAGGATGGGAAACAACTTATTTTCCAGTTGCCCAAAAGCAAGAGTTTCTTGTATTTTGTGCACACTTCCAGAAGCAGAATTATTCTTTTTTTTTTTTTTTTTTTTTTTTTTTTATGGCTAGGAAAAACCAGTCATATCTCCTTTTCCAAGAAAGTTGGTTGCAACTGTCTCTTGACATGTGTTGGGCTGCTGAGGAGATGGGCAGTATATTCTTGTGCAGACCAGGAACCTTGTTCCTCAGAAAGGGCAGATTTTCATGTCAGCAAGGTTCTTAATCCTGTCTACACATCAGATAGACTTGTAGCCTTTTTCCTTTTTTTCTTGTTTAATTCCTGTTTTTTAGGTGTACATGCTAGCACCTCAACTCCAGAAATGATGCTTATCCACAGATCTGCCAGTGGTAGCTGGCAGTTCCCCATTATGAAAAGCCAGAACATCTCACTTAGAATAGAGAAGCACCTCATCCTATAAATCTTTTATTTTGCATTATTCTGAGGGTGAAGCCTGATACTAACATGATAACTGGCACAGATGTGAGGGTATGTTACCCTCTTCTACTGGTGGTTACATTTTTGGACACTTTCAGAGATGGTAATTCAGCAGCCCTCCTCAAGTTGTCAAGGGGACATAAAGACATATGTGTGACCTCAGTTACCTTGTTCTGACATCAAAATAATAAGGACAATGAAAAGAAACTATACTAATAGATTTATGATATTTTATTTTATTTATTTTTTTGGTACTGGGAATCAAACTCAGGACCTTGTGCTTGCCAGACAGGTGCTGTGCCACTGAGGTATATCCCCAGCACTATGATATTTTATAAAGTAAGTTACTGGTAATTTTTAAAGTTTGTTTTTAAACTTTAGTTATATAGACATATACCCTTTCTTTGTTTGATCATGATACTATTATTACTCTAACCAAAATAAGCCAATGTAGACATTACAACATATGTAATCATGTTAGAGCATAAACCTGGTTGAAAAACAGATGAGAGTTTTAAATTTGAGAAGCTAAAAACCCTTGACTATTCACCTCTACTGAGACTTAGTATATCAAAGATCTGCTTTTCTTTCTCTCAAGCCCACTGCCTTTCTGTTGTCCATGCAGTCTGTGGCAGTACCATATGATCTCACTACCATATGTGGGAGCCTGCATGCTTTCCTTTCTTTCACCTCATTGTCCAGTCCCCCAGCAACCATGTGTGAGTCTGCAGCTCTTAATAACTCATCCCAGTCTACTGAATGCACTTCCATATGGTCACGTAGCTGTCCCTGGATTTCTGCCCTGGAGGTGCCTTTTGCTTTTGGGCCTACAAGACCTTCTTATTATCTGAAGCCTAACCCACATACCTGCAGCTCATCTCTAGTGATTCCCAAATGTGAGCCACTTGAGTGCCCATACAACTGTCTTGTAGAGGCTCTGCTATGCTACTTAAAATGCTTTCCCTGACTAATAAGCAACCACTAGTGGTGAGCGTGTCTGCGTTGGATGGTACCTAGTGTGGATTTTCAAAATGTTATATTACTATTTGAAGTTTTATACTATGCTGACTTTTATAATGAGAATTTTTTTTCAGAATTTCTTAGTCAACAAAAAAGATAAACAGAAACAAAAAAGGACCTACATTTCCACATCAGCTAGGCACAAAACCACCACCTTGGCTGTTGACTGCTGTGTTTTGGGACACTTCTAGGCTTATCAGTGGCTCTGTGTCCTTGGGGTCCCTTGGTTCCTGTGATACCCCTGTTGGGTTTTCCATGTGTCCTCCTCCTGTCACTCACACTGAAGGTTCCTTGGAGAGTAACCACGCCTCCGTTGTATTCATTCATGACCTTGCTTGAAGTGTTAGCTCACCACAGGGAACTCAAACTGTGTGGGAAGGACTACTGGTCATTTAGAGATAGGGAAATAAACATATGGTTATCTGAAAACAGTCCTGTTGGAAGGGTGGTCTATAAAACCATTTCACTTGAAGGTCAAATAGTAGCCAATTCCTATAATCTGGAAGGGCTACCTCCACTTTAGAAAGCATTTGTATTCTTGGTCCGTAATCAAGCATTGCCACTTCTCCAGTTTCAGAAAACCCTGACACAGTCTATGAAAACTGGAATTAGTTGAGCTGTTGGTGATTTTCAAGACACTCCAGAATATAAAGAGATAAAGAAGGAACTTACGGAGAGCGGAGCTCCACCCTTCACTCACACATTCCCACTTCTTGTTTTATTATTGGGCATAACTTTCAGGGTACCTTTCATCATTACTGTACTAGGTCTTACAATGTTGACCATAAATATATTCAATTGCTTATTAGGCATTTTAATACAAGTTTTGAGATTAGGTTGTATATTAAGAAAAATGTTTTTTAAATTGTAGGAAATCTAGGAGAAAATGCACACCTCAACAATCATGAGCAAATCTGGGGATCTCTAAAACTGACAAGATGTGTAGACTTATATGAGTTATAACTTGCCATCTTCCTAGCAGTACCGTGTAGGCTTTGAGATACATCCAGGTCATTGATAACTGCTTTTTGCAAGAAAACAAGCTATCATTGTTTTTCTTATAAAGAAAGGATTAAATTCATTGTTTACTATAGCACTCTAGACATCCTCAACAATTCTGTAAGATTATCTTCTGAGGAAGAATTCTTTCCTAGTCGTAAGCATGGGAAATGTAGACCAGTGACCTTTTCTCCAAGGAAAATTTTGTTGAAAATTTTAAAAATATTGTGTATTCACCTTACTGCTTGCTAAAAGAAGTATAAATTTTGTTGAAAATACGTGGGATTTTTTAAGTATTTACATGTCATAACACTTTGAATCTTAGGAATTCACATTTAAGAGATTTCGTTGATTCAAAGATAATTAAGAATTTAGAGAAATTATAGAAACTGCTAACCTTATATTTAAATTCTTCTAGTTGTTTGAAAATTGGACAGTGATAGAAAGTGGTAGAACATTAAGAATCTTTTAAAAATTCCTAACACATCTCTGAAATCTGAAAATGAAAGCAATAGATGTCATCATAATTTTTAAAGAGTTGTATTGATGGGATGTTTGCAAATCCCCAAAGCCTCAGGAAAATAATCTAAATGGTTCATTATTTAGCTTATTGAACTTTGTTGCAGTTAGGTTAACCGATGATAGCAGTGTTTCCCAATCACCAAAGTACCATTTTAAAAGCATTTTTTATTCAATAAAGTGCTTAGAATATTGCACCCTGGAGCTTTATTTAGGGAAATGGTTCAGTTGATGTTTTTTGTTTAACCTCAGCTTTGACCTATCAAAATGAATATGGTTAATAAGCAACATCGTCAGTTAGGAGGCTAAACTATTTTGGGACATTCCATATCAAGGCTATACTCTTAAAACCCTATTA